CTTTGTATTTCTTTGTATCTACGTCAGATTCCTAATGTAAATGGAATCACGAATTACTTGTCTTTTTGTGCCTAGTGTCATCAGGGTGCCTCTGTGTTGTAGCATATGACAGAATTGCTCTTTTTTAAAGGCTGAATAGTATACTACATTTTGTTTATCCATTCATTTGTGGAGGATTGCTTTCACCTCTTGGCTGTTATGAATAATGCTGCAGTAAACATGAGTATGTAAATGATCTCTTTGAGATCTTTTTTCAATTCTTTTGGATATATGCTAAGAAGTGGGATTGCTGGGTCATATGACTGTTATTTTAATATTTTGAGAAACCTCTGTACTGTGCACCATTTTATATCCCTACCAACAGTGCACAAGGATTCCAATTTCTTTACATCCTCACTAACACTTGTTCTTTTCTGGGTTTTTTTGGTAGTGGCCATCCTAACATTTGTGCAGTGGTATCTCATTTTGCTTTGGATATGCGTTTCCCTGATAATTAGTGAAATTGAATGCTTTTTCTGGTGTGTTTTGACCATCTGTGTTTTCTTTGGAGAAATGTCTATTCAAGTCCTTTGCCCATTTTTTTAATAAGCTTATTTTTGTTGTTGAGTTAGAGAAGATCTTTATATATTCTGGATATTAACCCTCTATCAGTTATATGGTTTGTGAATATTTCCTCCCGTTCCATAGATTGCTCTTTCACTGTTGATTGTTTCCTTCACTGTGCACAAGCTTTTCAGTTTGAAGTCATCTCATATGTCTGTCTTCTGCTTTTGTCACCTATGCTTTTGGTATCATATCCAGTAAATCACTGTCAAATCTAATGTCACAAAGATTTTGCCATATGTTTTCTTCTAGAGTTTTATAGCTTCAGGTATTATGTTTAGGTCTTTAGTCTATTTTGATTTAACTTTTGTATATAGTATAAGATAAGGATCCAGCCTCATTATTTTGCATGTGGATATCCAGTTTATCCAACACCATTTGTTTTGAAGAGTGTGTCCTCTCTCCTAGTGCCCTTGTTGAAGGTCATTTGACCAGATATGTGAGAATTTTACTTTGGGCTGTCTGTTATGTTGGTCTCTATGTCTGTCTTTTTTTTTTTTTTTAATGTTTATTTATTTGAGGGGGAGAATCCAAAGCAGGATCTGCAATGACAGTGGCTGATGCAGGGCTTGATCCCACAAACCTGAACCAAAAGCAAGAGTTGGATGCTTAACTGACTGAGCCACCAGGTGCCCCTCTATGGTGTCTTTATGCTGCTACTGTACCATACTATTTTGATTACTGTAACTTTGCAATATATTTTGAAACCAGGAATTGTGAGGCCTCCAGTTCACAAGAACAAGTGTTCTCTTTGCTGAAGATCATTTAGACTATTTGAGGTTCTTTGAAATTTCATATAGTTTTTAAGATCATTTTTCTGTTTCTGCAAAAGATGCCACTGGGTTTTTTTTTTAAAGTTTTATTTAAATTCCAGTTAGTTAACATACAGTATAATATTAGTTTTGGGTGTACAGTTTGGTGATTCAACACTTTTAAACACACGTAATGCTCATCACAAGTGCACTGGGATTTTGATAGAGATTGCATTGAATCTGTAGGTCATTCTAGGTAGTATGGCTATTTTAACAACAGTAAGTTTTCCAATCCAGGAACAAGGAATGTCTTTACATTTACTTGTGTCATCTTTAATTTCTTTCAGCGTTGTTTTTTAGCTTTCAGTCTATAAGTCTTTCACCTCCTCAATTAAGTTTATTCCTCTGTATTTTATTCTTTATGATGCTATTGTAAATGGGATTGTATCACTTCTTGTTTTGAGCTTTTACTTCTATTTGCATGTCTGGGATATCTGGTATTGAATTATGTCTGGTATCAAATTCTCATTTATTTTGGCTGATAAAATCACATAAAGCAACTGTACCATTTTCATGCAGTATTTTAGTTTTGGGAAGATGGTGATACAATTCCATGTTATTTATTATCTGTTTGTGTCCCAAGTCGCTACAGGTTTTAGGAAGTTGTTTTGTTCTTTGAGTTAAAAGCTTTGGATTACCCAAATTGCCTTGTTTGTTTGCCTGGCTGTTTCTTGGTATGCTGAACTTGACCATCTTTGCTTTCTCATATAGGGTACATCATGGAAGGGTTCCTGGCTCTGCAGCATGCCCTGGATATTGCCATCATGATGTACCATAACAGCAGATCTGCATATGTTTTGTTCAATGATTTCCTCATTTTTGTTAAGAGGTTTCCATCCCCTGTTTATTTTTATGATAGTTTTTTGTGGTTTTTTATAATTGTCTTCCCTTTGATAATTTTACTTATATTTTGTCTAACTGAACTTACCCTACTCAGGACCATTGTTATGGAAAAGGAAAACAGATTAAAGGTAATGTCACTTTCTTTGTAGCATTTTGGGCCTGTGGAATACATTTGTGTTCTGTACATTTGACATATTGCAAAATGTGAATATTGCATATTCATGTATGAATGGTGAATAGATATGAATATATTATATTGAATATATGATACATTCAATTATATACTGAATATATATTCAATGGTGAATAGTTACATTGTGATAGCAGTATACAAATATAGACTGGGTGGAGTATACACTATGTCATTTATCAATTTTCTGATGTTGTGCTTTTATCTAAATTCTTGATTTGGCCTGTAGCTTTATTGACTAAATGACTATTTGACAAGAATGTTATGGAAGGAGGTCATATATTAAATGTCCTGAGTCTTCTTTGGAGTAAAATGGACAACAAGGAAATAATCATATGAGCTCTTGAATTAGACTAATTGAAGATGAACCTCAATTCCAAGATTTGAGATGCTTTTCAATATTAAGTCAAATTAAGACCATTGGTTAAGAACAGTGGCTCTAAAGTCAGAGAGAAAGCTGTTGATTCATCCATCTATCCACTGATTGGTTCACTTATTTATTAGTTACCTACACTTTATCAGGGAGTTTCATAAATCTTGGCTTTAAATTTTGACTCTGCCAAGTATTAATCCTGTGATCATAGCCTATTTCTTCAGACGTAAATTGAAGATAATACCAAATTTCTAGGCTATCAGGGAGATTAAGTGACATGTTATTTTAAGAATTATCTATCTAGGTCTATCTCTGACCTGTAGGAAACACTCAACAAATGGCAGTTAAAAAGGGAGGATGGAATTCCTAAAGGTTTAGTTGAGGAAATACTAATAAACTGAGCTACTTTTCTAATATGATAAGAACCTAGGGGTGTGGGCAAAGTTGTTCTTAAAGTACTGAGGGTGTGATGCTTGGTCTGAGCAATGGAGGACAACTGGAGTTCACTGGGGAGACAGCATGGGAGTATTGGCTTTGAGACTATCTGTATCCTAACCATGTTCCTATCAGTGCATTGTCAGAAGAAGGACTCTGGAAAGGAATGTGGAGGACAGCTTAGATTAAGGGTTGGCAAGCATTTTGTGGAAAGCACAAAAGTAGTGAATGTTTTAGGCTTGTGGGCCACATGTATCTCTGTCGCTTGCTTTCTTTCTTTCTTTCTTTCTTTCTTTCTTTCTTTCTTTCTTCCTTTCTTTCTTTCTTTCTTTCTACCACCTAGAAATGTAAAAGCCATTCTTAGCTCACAGGATGTACAAAAGTAGTCTGTGGGCTGGATTTGGCCAATAGGCTATAGTTTGCTGACACAAAGTTTGACTATGACATCAAGACTGAAGGTGTGGAACCAGTTGTGAGGTAATTGTAACAGACCAGGAGAAAAGCAAGGAGGGTCTGAGTCAAAGTGGTTTAGTATAAAGGAACAGAGCAGGAAGAGTTTAATAAATATTTGGGTGGTAGAAATCAATGGAAATGGGATATGTACATAATTAACTTCATATTCTGGAAGTTTGTACACACTTCTTTAAACGACTTTCTTTCCCATGTATCAGGCTGTTCTTAAGGTATTTTGGTGTTGCTACTTATCAAGTTGTGTTGGGGTGAGGAAATATGATGTATTTCCTGAAGCGACAATGATGCTTGGGTTTAATGAAGACAGAATGGTATAGAGAGAAACATCATTCTTTTAAGGGGCAAGGGATTGTCTCTCTTCCTGGGTTGTCTAGATATGCTAATGAAATTATCCTCCCCCAAATCACCCAGGCTTGAAACTTCAATCTTATCAGTATAGTATAGTATAGTATAGTATAGTATAATATAGTATGTTTAGTGTTAAGAATGTTGCCATTTCCTGCCTCTATAACTATTAGGTAAGTTTCTTAACTTCTCTGTGCCTCGCCTGTAAAATGGTGGTAAAAATATTCCTATCACATTGGGTTGTGGCAATGATTAAAGAGATACTGGTTGTTAGTAGGAAATATTATGTAGCTGTTGATATTAGTTATCTGTTTTCTAAATCCTGTTTCTTTCTCACCATGTGTAGAAATGTCCTTTTCCAGTGCAAACTCTTAGTGATTTTTCACCATCCAGCTATTTCAGAAATCCTCTCATTGGTTTCCCTTATTACCATTTCTCCTTAATCTTACTTCATATTAAACCCTTTTCCCTCCACCCCAAATGTTTCATTTTGTACCAGTCTTCATTTTGGCTAGAGGATTTGAAAGAGAACCCTTTTGGGTTCATAGGGTCATAGGGTCATAGGGTAGTTCATAGGGTAGGTCATAAGGTAGTTCCATCTTGTGTATGTGTGCTTCAAGAAATTCTTTCATAATTGAGTTTTTATTGGTTGTTCTGAGGATCAGTATAGACAAATTCAATTTGTATAGAACTCTTAATGTATTACTGAAAATCTAAAAAATCATGTAGTTGTGATTCTTTTCCTTTTTAAGAAATTTTTTTTGATGTTTGTTTATTTTTGAGAGAGAGAGAAAGAGACAGAGTGTGAGTGAGGGAGGGGCAGAGAAGAGGGAGACACGGAATCTGAAGCAGACCCCAGGCTCTGAGCTATCAGTGCAGAGCCCAATGTGGGGCTTGAACCCACGAACCATGAAACCATGACCTGAGCTGAAGTTGGACACTTAACTGACTGAGCCACCCAGCGGCCCCAGTTGTGATTCTTTTCTAAAAGTTATTCCACTGACCTTCCAGCTTAAAATTTGGAGGCAAATTTTCCTTAACAGTATATCAAGTATCAATATCTTCAAATGTTGATATGCCATTAGAGCGTTAAGTCCCATTAATTCACAATTTAGTATCATATACACTACATACTCAAATTTTCAATCTTTTACAGCACGTTAACAAAGTTACTAGGAAACTGGACTACCATGACAAAGATGCTACAGAATGCATCAGATTCTGACGGGGAGAGCCAAGATCAAGGGGTGGTTTTCTTTAGGAAACAATTCTACCAAAAACAACATGGGAATAGAAGTAATTTAAGATGTTCAAGACAAATTAAATGCACGACTGACTCCAAATTGCCATTTAGTATGCTTGGTATTATAGGATGTAAAAACTACGCCATCTATGGAATGTTAAGCTGACACCCAAGACAGTCAAATCCTCTCATATTCAATATCCCACTATTTTCTGGTTGTACAAAAAAATAACTAGCAAATTATTTCACTTCTTTTAAAAAAGCATTTACACTTAAAAAAATGAGGTGAGGTGGGGTTCCCTCCTTCTTGTTTCTAGAGCTACTAAAAAACTTGCATTTACAAAATAGTTGATAACAATATTCCTCTGGATTGTACAAGGAGGGAGACAGGGAACACTGATAAGACATGGGATATGATATTAATCAGATTTGGCTTCCTTCTCTCCTGCTTCATCAGAGGCTGGGCTCTCCTCATTTTTAGTTTCTGCATTTTCTGCAGGTAAGGCTTCTTTTGTCTCTTGGTTAGCCACTTCAGCCTGTTTTCTCTTTGCTTTGCCTTCCCCCTTTGTTTGCACTTTCTTGTCTGAAGATTTATCCTTTCCTGTCGCCTTTTTGGATTTCATTTCCAATTTTGCAGGAGCAGATTTAGCTGACAACCTCGCTGCCCTTCCATTGGGCTCCTTCTTCTCCACCCCCTTGGTGGAGCTGACCTTCCTTTTGGGCATCGTGGGGGTGGGGCGAGTGCATGCTGGGTGCCTGCAGGCTGCTGGACTCCGAGAGCCTTCCTGAAGCTGGGCTGCCTGTCCACATCTGCTCCTCCCACCGCCGGAGCTGCTGTGACGCACTGGGTAGTTCTATCTTTAACTTTCTGAGAAATGTCCACACTGTTTTGCAGTGTAGCTGTACCCATCTGCATTCCTACCAACAGTGTAAGAGGATTCCCCTTTCTCCATATCCTGTCCAACATCTGTTGTTTCCTCTGTTGTTAGTTTTAGCCATTCTGACAGGTGTGAGGTGGTATCTCATTGTAGTTTTGATTTGCATTTCTCTGATGTTGAGTGAGATTGAGCATTTTTTCATGTGTCTGTTAGCCATCTGGATGTCTTTGGAGAAGTGTCTCTTCATGTCTTCTGCCCATTTCTTAACTCAATTATTTTTTAGGTGTTGAGTTTGATAAGTTCGTTATATATTTTGTATACTAACTCTTTATCTGATATATCATTTGCACATATCTTTTCCCGTTCTCTCGGTTGCCTTTTAGTTTTGCTGATTGTTTCCTTTGCTGTGCAGAAGCTTTTTGTCTTGATGAGCTCCCAATAGTTCATGTTTGCTTTTCTTTTTCTTGCCTCCAGTGACATGTCTAGTAAGAAGTTGCTGCAGTGGAGGTCAAAGAGGTTGCTGCCTATTTTCTCCTCTAGGATTTTGATGGTTTCCTGTCTGACATTTAGGTATTTCACACATTTTGAATTTATTTTTGTGTGTGGTGTAAGAAAGCGGTCCAGTTTCATTCTTCTGCATGTCTCCATCCAGATTTCCTAACACCATTTGTTGTTTTTTTTTTTTCCATTTTTCTTTCTTGCTTTGTTGAAGATGAGTTGACCATATAGTTGTGAGTTCTCTTCTGGATCCTCCATTCTGTTCTATTGATCTGTCTGTTTTTGTTCCAGTACCATACTGTCTTGACGATTACAGCTTTCTAATACAGCTTGAAGTCTAGTCCAGAATTGTGATGCCTCCAGCTTTGCTTTTCTTTTTCAACATCACTATAGCTATTTGGTGTCTTTTCTGGTTCCATACAAATTTTAGAATTGTTTGTTCCACCTCTGTGAAAAATGTTGATGTTATTTTGATAGGGATTGATTGAACGTGTGGATTCCTTTGGATAATATTGACATTTTAACAATATTTGCTCTCCCAATTCATGAGTATGGGATGTTTTTCCATTTCTTTTGTCTTCTTCAATTTCTTTCATAAGTGTGCTCTAGTTTCAGAGTATAGATCTTTTATCTTTTTGGCTAGGTATTCTATGTGGAAAACCCTAAAGACTCCACCAAAAAATTACTAGAACTGATACATTAATTCAGCAAAGTCTCAGGATATAAAATCAATGCACAGAAATCTGTTGATTTCTATACAACAATAATAAAGCAGCAGAAAGAAAAATAAAAAAATCGATCCCCAAACCATAAAATACCTAGGAATAAATCTAACCAATGAGTTCAGTCTTTTGAAATGACACTAGCTTTGTGGGCTTGACTACAGTCAATTTTATTTTATTTTATTTTTTTAATGTTTTATTTTATTTTTGAGAAACAGAGAGAGACAGAGCATGAGTGGGGGAGGAGCAGAGAGAGAGAGGGAGACACAGAATCTGAAGCAGGCTCCAGGCTCTGAGTGTCAGCACAGAGCCTGATGTGGGGCTCAAACCTACAAGCCATGAGATCATGACCTGAGCTGAAGTTAGACGCCCAACCAACTGAACCACCCAAGTGCCCAACTACGGTCAATTTTAACAAATGTTCTCCATTCACATTTGCACTGAAAAACAATGTGTACTGTGTATTCAATGGGTGCAATTTTCTGGGCACGTTACAACAACTTTGTTAGTAATGTTGTTCATATCTTTTTTAAGAAGTTTATTATTATTATTCTTTTAAATAATCTCTACACCCATTATGGGACTTGAACTCACAACTGGAGATCAAAAATCACATGCTGTAGTGACCGAGCCCGTCAGGTGCTCTATGTTGTTCATATCTTTAACATGTGTTTTTATGTCATTTGTATCAGTTATGGAGGGAAGTATGTTAAAAATCTCCGTCTATGATTATTGATTATTAGGTGGTCAGTGTTGATGATCGATTGTTATTAGAGCATTTTTTAAAGTAATAGCTGCTTTAAAGTCTTTATTATTAGATAATTCTATTATCTATGTCATCTTGATTTGGCATCTGGGGATTTTCTTTTTTTCTTTTCTTTTTTTTTTTTTTTTTTTTTTTTTTCGAGTTTACATTTTCCTAATCTTGGTTTACTGAGTAGTTTGGGGTTGTATCGTGAATATTTTGAATATTATGTTATGAATCCCTTTTTCCGTTGATAATTTTCCATTTTAGTATGTAGCCAATCTCTTTATATTTAGAATACACATCCTTACAAATGGCAAGACCTCATTGTTTATTATGGCTGAGTAATGCCACATCTTCCTTATCCATTCATCTATTGATAGACATGTGGGTTGCTAACATATTTTGGCTATTACAAGTAATACAAGTAATGCTGCAATAAACTTAGGAATGCACATATCTTTTCCAGTTAGTGTTTTCATTTTTTGGGGGGTAATATCCAGTAGTGGAATTACTAGATCATATCAGATGGTAATTCTGTTTTATTTTTTTGAGGAAACTCCATACTGCTTTCCACAGTGGCTACACAAATTTGCATTCCCACCAACAGTGCAAGAGGGTTCCTTTTTCTTCACATCCTCACTAACTCTTATTATTTCTTATCTTTTTGATTCTAGCCATTCTGACAGGTGTAAGGTTGATAATCTCATTGTGGTTTTTATTTGCATTTCCCTGATGATTAGTGATGTTGAACATATTTTCATATGTCTGTTGACTATCTGTATGTCTTCTTTGGGAAAATGTCTATTTAGGGACTTTATTTTTAAATTGGATTATTTTATTTTTTGGCTGTTGTTTAAATTCTTAATATATTTTGTGATATTAGTCCTTATCAGATATATCATTTACAAATATCTTCTCCCATTCAGTAGGTTGTCTTAGTTTTTTATTTCCTTTGCTGTGTGGAAGCTTTTTTTTTTTTTTTTATGTAGTCCTAATAGTTTATTTTTCCTTTTGTTCCCTTGCCTCAGAGGCATATCTAGAAAAATGTTGCCATGGCCCATGTCAAAGAGGTTACTGCCTGTGTTTTCTAGGGTCTTGATGGTTTCCTGTCTCACATTTAGGCCTTTGATTTATTTTGAATTTATTTGTGTGTTTGTTATAAGAAAGTTGTGCAGTTTCATTCTTTTACATGTTGCTGTCCAGTTTTCCCAACACCGTTTGTTGAAGAGACTTTTTTGCATATCCTTTCCTCTTTTGTAGAAGATTAATTGACCATATAGTTGGGGGTTCTTTTCTGGATTTTCCATTCTGTTCCATTGATCTAGGTGTTTGTTTTTTGTGCCAAAACCATAGCATTTTGATCACTACAGCTTTGTAGTATAACTTGAAATCTGGAGTTGTGATAACTCCAGTTTTTTTCTTTTACAAGATTACTTTGGCTTTTCAGTGTCTTTTGTGGTTCCATATAAATTCTAGGATTGTTTGTTCTAATTCTGTGAAAAATGCTATTGGTATTTTGATAGAGATTACATTAAATGTGGAGATTGCTTTGGTAGTATGGGTATTTTAACATTTGTTCTTCTAATTTGTGAACATGGAATATCTTTCCATTTGTGTCATGTTCAGTTTCTTTCATTGATATTTTATAGTTTTCAGAGTACAGGTCTGCTTTTCTTCAGTTAAGTTTATTCCCAGGTATTTTATTGTTTTTGGTGCAACTGCAAATGGGACTATTTTCTTAATTTCTTTTTCTGGTGCTTCATAATTAGTGTATAGAAATTTGACAAATTTCTGTATATTAATTTTGTATCATGTGACTTTACTATTCCTGTGTTTTTAATTATTTCTTTTTTAAAAAATTTTTTAAATGTTTATTTATTTTTGAAAGAGAGAGAGCATGCAGGGGACCCACAGAGAGAAAGGGAGACACAGAATCCGAAGCAGTCTCCAGACTCTGAGCTGTCAGCACAGAACCTGATGTGGGGCTCAAACCCACAAACCTTGAGATCATGACCTGCGCTGAAGTTGGACGCTTAACCAACTGAGCCACCCAGGCATTCTGTTGATATAGTATTTTTTATCATTCACTTGAACTTACTGTGTTGTCTTATTGGCCATAACTATTAGTTGTGTTGATTTCATGGTTGCTTTAGGGTTTATAGCATGCATGTTTGCCATTTTGTCATACATTTTACTTCTTTACAATATATTGGTATTATTTTGCTTTTAAAAGTAAATTACAGTTCTTTTTTTAATGTTTTTATGTATTTTTGAGAGATAGAGACAGAGCACGAGCTCGGAGGGACAGAGAGAATGGGAGACACAGAATCTGAAGCAGGCTCCAGGCTCTGAGCTATCAGGATGCTCAACTGACTGAGTCACCCATGTTCCCCAAAGTAAATTACATTTCTAAAGAGATTTAAATAATAAGAAAAAAAGTTTTATATTTTTCCAACGTACTTCTCACTTTTTGTTCTCTTTATTCCTTGTGTAGATACAGATCCACCTTATACCATTTTCCTTCTACCTGAATGTTTTTTTTTAACATTATTTGTAGTGCTGTTCTGTTGATTTTATTCTTTCAGCTTTTACATATTTGGCAAGGTCTTTATTTTGCTTTTCTTTTGAAAGGTATTTATGTTGTGTTGAATTTTTTTTAATGTTTACTTATCTTAGAGAAAATGAGAGAGAGAATGAGAATATGAGCATGAGCAGGGGAGGGTCAGAGGGAAAGGGAGGCACAGAATTCAAAGCAGGCTCCAGGGTCTGAGCTGTCAGCACAGAGCCTGATGTGGGACTTCAACTCACGAACTATGAGATCATGAGCCGAGCTGAAGTTAGATGCTTAACCAACTGAGCCACCCAGGTGCCCTAAGAATTCTAAAGTAAGAAGTTTTTCTTTTAACACTTAAATATCTGTTCCATTGTTATGTGGCTTCCCATGTTTCTAGTTAGATGGGCTTTCCCCCACTCTGTACATAATGTGTCATTTTTGGAGCCTGGTTTAAAGATTTCCTGTTTTGAGCAATTTGACTATGATATGCTTTGGTATAGTTTTCTTCATGTTTCTTGTGCTTGGATTTCATGGATCTTCTTATATTTCTGGTTTTATGGTTGGTCAGAATTTTGAAAAAAATTTGGCCTTTATATTTTGACATGTCTCTTATGCCCTCTGTCTCCCTCCACTCTCTCAGGGACCTCCATTAGGCTACCTGAATTTGTCTTATTGATACTTTATTCATTTTTTTTCAGGCCTTTTGTGTTTTATTTTGGCTCATCTATAGTACTATGTCTTCAAGTTCATTAATATTTTCTGCAATATCTAATCTGATGTTAATCCAATCTAGTGTATTTTTTGTCTCAGATACTTTATATTTTCCATGTGTCTGCTGAACATGTACCATTTTCCTTTAGCTTACTGAGTAGATGGGATGCATTTATAATAAGCTTTAATGTCCTTGTCCATTGGTTCTGTAATTGCACATTTGTGTCAGTTTTGATGATTGACTTTTCTTCTCGCTATGAGTTATGTGTCTCCTTCTTTGCATACCTCATATATTATTTATTTACTACTGTGTAATAATATTACCACAACTTAGTAGCTTATAATACCACACATTTATTAGTTCACACTTTCTGTGTGTTGGATTCAGGCATGGCTTAGCTGAGTCTTCTGCAAGGCTGCAATCAGGATGTTATCCAGGGTTGTGGTCTCATCTGAGTCTCAAATAGGGGAAGAATCTCTTCTAAACTCTTGTAGTTTTTGGCATATTTCAGTTTGTTATGGTTGTCTAACTGAGTAGTTTCTTTCTTTTTTTAATGTTTATTTATCTATTTTGAGAGAGTACACATGCGTGTGTGAGAGTGGGAGAGGGGCAGAGAGAGAGAGGGAGTGAGAGAATTCCAAGCAGGCTTCATGCTGTCAGCACAGAGCCAGATGTGGGGTTTGGTCTCACAAATCATGAGCTCATGACCTGAGCCAAAATCAAGAGTTGGATGCTTAACCAACTGAGCCACCCAGATGCCCCAATTTAGTTTCTTTCTCACTGTTGGCCAGAGGCTGCCCTCAGCCACTTGCCTTATGGAACTTCTAAAATGGCCTTACAACATCATCAAATTGAATAAGAGGAGAGAATCTCAGAGTGAGACCAATGCCATGATCAATGTAACATAATCACAGAAGTGACATTTCATCACCGTCACTACATTACTGGTTAAAATGAGTTATATGACCCAGCCATAATCAATGGGAAGGAACCACACAGGACTGTGAACACCAGAAGGCAGAGATGATAGGGATCACCTTAGAGACTGTCCATCACATCTAGTAATTTTTTATTGAATGCCAGGCATTGTGGATTTTAATTTGTTGGGTCTTGGGTATTTCTGTATTCCTGTATTCCTCACTTTTATTTTGAAAACATGTCAGATAATCTGGAAACAGTATTATCCTTTGGGGTCTTGCTTTTTAATTTTTGTTAAGTGTGACCAGAGTGGCATTTATTCTAAGACAGTAGTTCTCAACTGGAGACAGTTTTCCTCCTGTAGGATATTTGGTAATGTCCGGGGATGGTTATACACCTGGAAATAGTCATTGCTCCTGACACCTTGTAGGTAGTTTAGGGTCACTGTTAAATATCCTATAATGAATGAGATTTTTTTAAATTAGGGGTTAAAAATGAATCCAAAATGTAAATAGTGCTGAAAGTGAGAAATCCTGTTATATATGAAGCACTTAGGATACTGCTTTGCATTGAGTATGTTCTCAATAGTGCTGAGGCTGGGAAACCCAAGTCTAGGGCTAAATTTGGCCCCCTCTTAATACAAAATCCTTGTAAATATTCTACCTATGACCTGTAATTATATGGTTTTCAATTACATAGTTTTTAACTCTGAATGGTGGGACAGGAACTATTCATAGCCATCTGTGAGTTGTAGGTATTTGTCCTAATCCTTAAAAGTTGTTCTTTTCAAGGCTTTGACCCCATTCTTCACACATATGTGCTGACAAGTACTAACCTGAAGACTCTGGGAGTACCTTTCAAAGATCCCTGGAGCACTCCCTCTATGATTATCTCTCTGCTTTTATTTAACACTGCGAACTCCAGCCACCTTGTCCTCCATGGATTCCCAGCTGTCTTCTGCTCTCAGGAACATTGATGGGCTCTCATTCCAGTTAGCTAGGCAACTAATTAGCAACTTGCTAAGTGAGTGCTTGATCACAGGGCTCATCTCTTTTGTTTTCCTCTTCTCTAAGGGATTATTGGCCTTTATTTATTGCCTGGTCTCCCATGTCTTAAAAATCCATTTTTCACTGTGTTTCTTTCCTTTAAAAATTTTTATTTTTTAGTTGAGATATAATTGACATATAAAGCATATGAGTTTTAGGTTATATTATACATACATACATATATATACATAATAATTTGATATACATATCTGTGTATTGCAAAATGATCATAATAAGTTTAGTTAACATCCATCACTATACATAGTTAAAATTTGTGTATGTATGTGTGTAAGGAGAACTTTTAAGGTCTACTCTCTTAGCAGCTTTCAAATACATGTATTGTATTGTTAACTCTAATCATCATGATGTACATTACATCCCCAGGATTTATTTATCTTATAACTGGAAATGTTTACCTTTTGAGCACCTTCCCCTACCTCTGCCTGTAGTAACTGCCAATCTGTTTTGTGTATCTATGAGTTGGGTTTTTATTGCTATTGTTTTTTTTAGATTTTGCATGTAAGTGATATCCTAAAGTGTCTGACTTATTTCTCAGTGTAGAATCCTCAAGGTCCATCCCTGTTGTACAGATCGCAAAATTTATTTCCTTTTTATGGCTGAATAATATTCCATGTGTCTTTTTTCCATATATGTCTGTTTGACTTATTTCCCTGACTATAACCCTGAAGCCACATTTGTATTATTGCACATGGTAGGATTCCTTCTTTTTTATGGCTGAGTAATATTCATTGTACATATGTCTTTTTTTTTTTTAAGTTGTTTCTAGTTAAAGAGTACATTTGGTCCCATTTGCCCCATCTCAGCCAGAAGGTAAAGCCTTCCATTTCTCTTAATTTTTGTTTTGTATTAGAAATTTTGTATGAAAGAACTGTGGAGACCGTGCCCTCTTATTTAAGACACAGTTACCTTGCATCTTGGCTGGGTTGCTGCCTTAGCTTCATTCATCACTCATTGAAGATATAGGCACAGAGTTCCAAGTGATTTTCTTTTAAAATATCAATGTCTATTACACAAATAATGCAGGTTAAAAAAAAAAGACAAGGAAAACATGCCTGGGCCCCTGACCCAGAAATCTTTCAGCAAGTTAGTCTATGTTTGTCTTTTTCTTTATCTCTACAAGTGTTTGCATGTGGACATCACACATCTCTACATACAAGTTTGGCCTCTTGGGAGTTTTAGTGTCCTTTGTAGGTTACTTAAGTTCATTGTAAACTTTCTCTTTGATTTTTCATTGAAATTTGCTTTAAAAGACTGAGTTTGTCACTGATCCTTAGTAAATCTGTTATTTAATGGTTTTGCAGTCTTTTTTTTTTTTTTTTTTTTTTTTTTTTTTTTTTTTTTTTAGTAGCCTTCATACCCAGCACAGAGCAGGACTGAACTCGCAATCCTGAGATCAAGACCTGAGCTAAGAAGAGTTGGACACTTAGCCGACTGAGCCACCCAAGTGCCCAGGTTCTGCAGACTTTAAATTAACACTTTATTTCCTTATTTGGTTCCTTTGCATAATAAAATGTACCTGAATCCATCTGTAAGGATATTGGAAGCAATCAAATAACCAGGTACCCTCACATTTATTTGTTTATTCAACACACAATTTTAAGCACTTCCTTTGTGCTAGACAGAGGACACTAAAGTCACAGAATTTAATATTGAAGTATAATAATTGAAATATAATACTTTAATAATAAAACATCTACTTTGAAAAGCTTCTGGAAACTAGCACCACTAATTTGACTTTTTTTATTATCCTTTTAAATTAAAATGATTTTGTAACTTTTTTTAAGTTTTTATTTTAAGTCTAGTTAGTTAACATACAGGGTAATATTAGTTTCAATTGTACAATATAGTAATCCAACACTTCTGTGCACCACCCAGTGCTAATCATGATAAGTGCACTTCTTAAGCCCCATCACTCACCCCTCTGAAATCATCATTTTGTTCTCTATAAAAGAGGCTGTTTCTTGATTTGTGTCTCCTCTCTCATTTTTTTCCCATTGTTTATTTGTTTTGTTTCTTAAATTCCACATATGAGTGAAATCATATGGTATTTGTCTTTCTCTGACTTACTTCACTTAGCATTTTACTCTATAGCTCCATCTATATCATTCTTTTTTATGGCTGAGTACTGTTCCATTGTTTCCGTTGTATGTATGTATATATTTATATATATATACACACCACATCTTCTTTATCCATTCATTATCAGTCAGTGGACGTTTGGGCTATTTTCATAATGTGGCTATTGTAGATAATACTTCCCTAAACATCAGGTGCATGTATCCCTTTGAATTAGTATTTTTGTATTCTTTGGGTAAATGCTGGATCATAGGGTAGTTAGTTCTATTTTTCACTTTTTGAGGAACCTCCATACTGTTTTCCACAGTGGCTGCAGCAGTTTGCATTCTCACCAACAGTGCATGCGGGTTTGTTTTTTATCCACATCCTTGCCAACACCTTTTGTTTCTTGTGTTTTTGATTTTGGCCATTCTGACATGTGTGAGGGGATACCTCACTGTAGTTTTGATTTATGTTTCTCTGAGGATAAGTGATGATGAGCATCTTTTCGTGTGTCTGTTGGCCATCTGAATGTCTTCTTTGGAGAAATGTCTGTTCATGTCTTGTGCCCAGTTTTTAATTGGACTATTTGTTTTTTGGGTGTTGAATTTTACAGGTTCTTTATATATTTTGCATATATGATATATTATAGTTCATGAATCTCACTATTAAAACTCTGTGAATTTGCCCATTATATTATTTGGATCTTAGCATTTACAGATGAGGACTTTGAGGCACAGAGAGGTCAAGTTTTATCACGGTTATATTGCTGGTAGGTGGCAGAGTGAGGATCCAAACCCAGGGAGTCTTGTCTCCAATCTGTGCTTGTACCAGGGAAAAATGACCTCTAGGGGTGCCTGGGTGGCTCAGTGGGTTGAGTGCCCAACTTTGGCTCAGGTGATTATCTCACAGTTTGTGGGTTCAAGCCCAGCATCAGGCTCTGTGCTGACCTCTTGGAGCCTGGAGCCTGCTTTGGATTCTGTCTCCCTCTCTCTCTGTCCATCCCTGCTTGAGCTCCATCTTTCTCTCTCTCTCTATCTCTCTTGAAAATGAATAAATGTTAAAAAAAAATTTTTTTTTTAAAAAAAGGCCTCCAAAACATGCCGAGGCAGCAGGATGGAGTTGGAAGAGCACAGAACAGGGAGGTCTTTTGGTGCAACTTTGTAGAAGCAACTCACCCTCTTTGAGTCTGACTTTATGATCTGTAAAATTATAGGGGTTTATGTAGATTAAGGATTGGCAAACTTTACCTGTAAGCAAAACCTGATAATATATATTTTAGGTTTTGCAGGCTGTATTACAACTATAACTCTGTTTGGGATGAAAGCAGCCACAGACCATACGAAACAAATGAGCATGGCTGTGTGCCAATAAAGCTTTATTTATAAAAGTATGAGGTAGACTGGATTTGGCCCATGGGCTGTAGTTTGCCCCTCTCTGCTTTAATCTATAATTGAATTAAAGCTTATTTGCCTTCCTCTAATACTTCCTGGAAGTAGAACATAATAAAAAGAAAGGCAGTCTTATTCTTTGTGTTTTAAATTTTTAATTAAGTGTTATGTTAGAATTGCATCTGGTAAGTTATTGGGGAAAAGATCTGGACTCAGAATTCTGAGTTGGAATCGCACTGCCAACTCATTAGGTGGATGATTTTCATCAGGTCACTTGACTATTCTGAGACTTGATTTCTCTGTAAAATAGAGATGATAATACTTAACCTATGTAAGTTTTTTGGGTGTTAAGTCAGATAATATTTTTGAATGCATTTTGAAAACTATGAATTGTTTGTCATGACATTTGGTTTGTGTTAACTCTCCTACAGGAGTACCAGCTCATGATAGGGCTCAGTAGAAATATGCTCTGGGCTTCCTATTTCGTCTCATTCTTTTTGATATTTTTAATTATTGTCTGTTTCCTGTGAGTGATTTTATTTGTCCAGGCAAGTATCTATTTGAATGTAGCATGCTGCAGCTTAACTTCAAAAGGAATAAAATAGCTGTGGGTCTGGACTGAGTGGGATATAGGTTGTAGAAGAATGCATACATTTTTCATTGAGTCCCCTCGGAAATTCAGTTTATCAGCACACAAAACCACCTAGATGGGCAGCTCTTCCATGACAAAGGAGTTATTTAATGAACTTTGTATCTCTCTGAACAGTGACCTGTTTCACTAGGGCTACTAAGTGTTAAGGGTTATTTTCTAACCCTTGTTTTTCTGCGACACCTCTTAAGGTATGACTAAACTGGCTTCCTGGTTGTTTTGTTAGATCGTACCTGATGTAGTCCTTCAGTACGGTGACCCATTTCTTGTCTTCGTCTTTTTCCTGTGTTTTACTGTCACCTCGTTAGCCTTCAGCTTTCTGATTTCCACGTTCTTCAATAGAAGTGAGTCTAACACTCCTCCCATGAAATTCTCAGCATTTCGGTTGACTCTAAAGAGGATTTCATTTGGAAGCTCCTTCTTTTTTTTTCATGTTTATTCATTTGTGAAACACAGAGAGAGACAGAGCACAAGCAGGGGTGGGGCGGAGAGAGAGGTGGACACAGAATCTGAAGCAGGCTCCAGGCTCTGAGCTGTCAGCACAGAGCCCGACTTGGGGCTCGAACTCACGAACTGTGAGATCATGACCTGAGCCGAAGTTGGACGCTCAACTGACTGAGCCACCCAGGTGCCCCTGGGAGCTCCTTCTAAACATCAGTTGCCCCCTCATATCCAGTCTCTGCTTATTGCATTCTAAAAAGGACAGATATTGTATGCATGTGAAATGATTTGAAAGGAAGAGCAAAGATCAGAGAAAATCAATACAGCGTTAGGATGCCTGTAAAAAGAGGATAAAAACCAACATAGGGTCTCATGTGACAAGAGTGTGTCAACTAAAATAGGGTCATGTGGAAATATTCATTCATTTACTCACCCACTTGTTGAAGTCTTTGGATCACTCATCACATGCCTGGAACCATGTTGAATTTGCAAAAAGCAGATAAGAAACAACTTCATGCCCTTTGTGTTCTCACATACGAGAGAGATGTGGGACCAGATAAATTCACACTAGCTTAAGTTAGGGAATTCATACAATTACTTCTCCAGTGGCCATTTTCTGTTATTATTTATTAAAAAATATTTTTCATGCAACAAATATTCACCATTTTTTCACTTTTATATCTTTCATATTTGCTGATTAATTAGAGTATTACCTTCTCTCAGTCATTTACGGTACAAATTGCTTTATGGTAAAATTTACATTTCGTAGGGATTTTTTATTGTTTTCAGCAATAACACTGCTACCAGTTAATTCTTTTTTTTTTAATTTTTTTTTCAACGTTTATTTATTTTTGGGACAGAGAGAGACAGCACGAACGGGCGAGGGGCAGAGAGAGAGGGAGACACAGAATTGGAAACAGGCTCCAGGCTCTGAGCCATCAGCCCAGAGCCCGACGCAGGGCTCGAACTCAGGGACCGCGAGATCGTGACCTGGCTGAAGTCCGACGCTCAACCGACTGGCCACCCAGGTGCCCCATAATTAGTTCTTACAAAGTAGAGAGTCATACCTATCGCCTACCCTATAGTAAAACCATGAGTGCAGAAAATCATTTTGTCAGAGTCAGCTGGAGGTGATACGCTGAAGAGCAGGGTAAAGTGCACAAATGCCAAGGAGGGACACTTGGCCAAAACAACTATGATACTGATAAAAAAAAATTTTTTTAAATCCCTTGTGTTTATAAATATTGCTGAGGTGGCACAAAGTCCAAAAATTAGGCGGGAGGTGATTGAAAGCCAAAGCTAGCTTTTGTGTTGGGATTTTCTGTCGAACACCAGAGATTTCAGTGTTCTCCAACAGCAATTCGGGGAGCTAAGGTAAGTCTGGAGAACCTGCCAGAGGTGGACTATTTAAGAGGACACCTCAAATAAAGGTGAGACCTTAAAGAGCCACAGTTGCTGTGCGCATGAATGAAAAACAAAGGTGCCACACAGAAGGAACAACAAGTTCTTGCTTTGCCTAAATTCACCAAGATATTAATCAGTTCGTTAGCTGCTGTTATTTCATGGACATTTTTCTGAGGGGAATTCTTCCGTTTCGTCATTTTGGATAGTCCCTGGAGTGGTGCGGGACTGCAGGGCACTTCCCCTGTGCTGTCTTGAATAACTTGCGTTGGTGGGCGGGGTCGCAGTCAGACCTGATGTCTGTCCCCAGCCCACCAATGGGGCCACAGTCAGACTGGTGTGTGCCTTCTCTTCCCCTCTCCTAGGGGCGGGATTCACTGTGGGGTGGCGTGGCTGTCTGGGCTACTTGCACACTGCCAGGCTTGTGGTGCGGGGATCTGGCGAATTAGCTGGGGTGGATCGGCAAGGTGCACAGGGGCGGGAAAGGTAGGCTCAGCTCGCTTTTCCTTTGGAGATCCGCTTTGGGAGGGGCCCTGGGCACCGGAGGGAGTCAGACCCGCTGGAAGGATGGATCCGCAGAAGCACAGTGTTGGGTGTTTGCGCGGTGCAAGCAAGTTCCCTGGCAGGAACTGGTTCCCTTTGGGATTTTGGCTGGGGGATGGGAGAGGGAGATGGCGCTGGCGAGCGCCTTTGTTCCCTGCCAAGCTGAGCTCTGTGGTCAGGGGCTCAACAACTCTCCCTCCCGTTGTCCTCCAGCCCTCCCGTCCTCTGAGCAGAGCTGTTAAGTCCCGCTTGCTGTCAGATGTTAAGTCCCGCTTGCCGTCAGAACACACTCCTTCTGGCCCCTCCACTTTTGCCAGCCAGACTTGGAGCCTCTGCTTGGCCGATGGGCTGCCCCTCTGTCCTGGTCCCTCCCGCCAGTCCCTGTAGAGCGCACCGCCTCTCCTCCCTTCCTACCCTCTTCCGTTGGCCTCTCGTCTGCTCTTGGCTCTGGAGAATCCATTCTGCTAGTCTTCTGGAAGTTTTCTGGGTTATTTAGGCAGGTGTAGGTGGAATCTGAGTGATCAGCAGGACGCGGGGAGCCCAGCGTCCTCCTACTCTGCCATCTTCCCAGGATCCCCCCTCACCAAGATATTAAGATTGTGGCTTATGTGAGAAGGACATCAGTGAATGTAACCAGATATAAAACCCCTGAAGATTGGTAAATTATGTAAAATTTTATATTTTGGAAGTTATAGAATGCTTTTTTTTTTTAGATTTTTAAATTTATTTTAATTTATTTTAATTTTTATTTTTTAATTTACATCCAAATTACAACAATGCAACAAGTGCAACAGTGCAACAATGATTTCAGGAGTAGATTCCTTGGTGCCCCTTACCCATTAGCCCATCCCCCCTCCCACAACCCCTCCCATAACCCTCAGTTTGTTCTCCATATTTATGAGTTTCTTCTGTTTTGTCCCCCTCCCTGTTTTTATATTATTTTATTTTTGTTTCCCTTCCCTTATATTCATCTGTTTTGTCTCTTAAAGTCGTCATATGAGTGAAGTCATATGATTTTTGTCTTTCTCTGACCGACTAATTTCACTTAGCATAATACCCTCCAGTTCCATCCACATAGTTGCAAATGGCAAGATTTTGTTCTTTTTCATTGCCGAGTGGTACTCCATTGTATATAGATATCACATCTTCTTTATCCATTTATCCATCGATGGATATTTGGGCTCTTTCCATACTTTGGCTAGAATGTTTCTTTATCCCTCTAGCCATCTACCCCACATATCTGAAGTTTTTTGGTGGTTTGTTTTTTGTGATTCCTGTTTTAGTTGCCTTTTTTGACTAAATGAAACTACACATATTGTGTAGGAAATGATGTATATATGAATTGGTATCATTCTATTATGTTTCCACAGATGGTTTTCCATATCTTTTTTTTAAATTGTAAGTCCTTTAAGTTTTTTTCATGGCATGAAGTGGACAATAAATGCAAGAGTGTATATACAGTGTACATAATAATAAAAGGAACACCCAGTGCTCACCCAGAGACTGAAAACAGAAATTGCTAGTACCTAAGAAATACTTTAGGTACCCCTTTCTGATAATAACCACTATTCTGATTGACTTTTGTTTACAGCTTTTCCACTTAGTATCTATCACTGGCTAATGTATTGCTTCGTTTTCTTAGTGAAATTACACTGTGTGATTTTGATACAACATGGTGTTGTGCTTTTAGCTTTATCTAGTTATTATTTT